GTTTCCGGTTAATACAATTCTAGCATGAATAATAAACATTTATCATGATATAAGGAAATAAATAATAACTTTATTATTGCCTCTAGGGCATATTTCCTTCAGGTTCAACCACCCAAATTCCAAGCATCAGACCAGAACAAAACCGAGTCCCCTTTGTTAACTAAAACAGAGGCAACAACTTTGTAATTATCAGCTAACTTACAAATATCCTTCCACCAAAAGGAGCCACAAAGAACAGTGGCATGAGGGACAATTCCATCATAGTATGAATCCCACAACAAGGATACCCAGGGTATATCCGCTTTATTGTAGAATTTATGTAAGTGTTTAATGAGGAGCCCTTGGTTTTGAAGCTGCAAGTTGATGACCCCCAATCCTCCTTTTTCCTTGGGTCTACAAACCATATCCCACGCTGCAAGGGATTGCCTCGGTGTATCAGAGTTTCCTCTCCAAAGACATTGACGCATAATCCGCTCTAATTGCTTGATGATGCCAGGTGGAATGGATAGGGAGCAGAGGAAGTATATAAGCATGGACGAAAGAACCGATCTCAGCAACTGGAGTCTGCAACCTTGGTTCAACATAGATGAACTTGCAGTCAAATGCCTCTCAAGTGAATCCACCAAAGGCATCAGATCAAGGATCGTGGGCTTGGTCGTTCCCAAGGGGAGGCCAAGATAGGTGAATGGCAGTGATCCTAGAGTACATTGAAAGACCTGAGAAAGCCGAAGAGCCTCAGCTTCAGGGACATTAATAGGTACCATCATGGATTTAGCAAAGTTTACTCTGAGACCAGTAGATTCAGCAAAAACCTGCAACATAGCTCTGAGGGCTACGAGCTGGGCTTCATCCGCAGGGAGTAGCATGATAGTATCATCAGCATACTGGATTATTGGAAAATCCTTGTCATTGCAATCAATCGGCAGAGAGAGAGTACCATCCAGCAACATCTTGTTAACAACCGACTGCAATAGGTCTGCTGCCAAAACAAAAAGCAATGGAGAAAAAGGGTCCCCTTGCCTAACCCCACGCTTACACTTAAAGTGATTGCCGGGGATGCCATTAAGAAGTACCTGAGAGTCACGAGAGGACAAAATTTCCTTGACCCAACCAATCCATTTGGGGGAAAACCTTTTGCCATAAGCAGAGCCAGAATGGCCTCATGCTCAATAGTATCAAAAGCCTTAGCAAAATCCAACTTTAAGAGAATGATTGGTTTCTTTGATTTCTTACACTGATAGATGTACTGAAACGCCCATGCCAAACAATCCTGAATAGACCGATGTTTCAAAAAACCATATTGGTTCTTGTGTATGCACTTGAGGATTACCTTTTGCAGTCGATTGGCCAACAGTTTGGTGAGGAATTTGAGGCAGGTATTAGTTAAGGAAATAGGCCTGAAATCATTAGGTCCCATTGGCGCCAACATTTTGGGGATGAGGGTGATGAAGGAAGAATTGATATTCTGCAAGCTGATCCTCCCCTCAAAAAAGTCCTTAACTAACTTTCTGAAATCTGTCTCAATAATAGTCCAACATTTCTTGACAAACATACCGTTAAACCCATCAGGTCCAGGTGCCCGATCAGTAGGCAGATCTTTAAGTACCGCAGAAATCTCGTCATCAGAAAAGGGAGCGTCCAATTCCTCAAGGCCCAAGACAGGGGCAATCAGAGAGGAGAGATCAAAACCCATGGAGATACCCTACGCTTGGCCCATTCTGGACTTAAAGGAGTTCCATAAAATTCCTGTCATTTGGTCATGATCACTGACAACAGAGTCATCCTCTCTCTGCAACGAGGAGATCGTGTTTCGTCTAAGCCTCTCCGAGGCCATAGCATGAAAGAACTTGGAGTTTTCGTCCCCCACCATGATATATCTGATGGTGCACCTCTGCTTCCAATATATATGATGCGGTTTCAGTATGCGTTCATACTGAAGCTTGACCCTTTTCCTGAAGTTGAACTCAGGCCTGGTCAGGGGTCTGAGTTCCTCAAGGTTATCAAAATACAAAACCACCTATGAACATTTAGTGGCCAACCTTTTTAAGGAGGAAAGATTAGTGCTCCACTTCTTGAGTGCAAGTCTCAACCTCTTGAATTTAACAGACAAAGTGGCAGGTGCAAATAAGCCCACAGCAACGGGCTCCTCCCAAGAGGTCTTAACATAGTCAAGAAAACCTGGCATTTCCACCCAAAAATTCTCAAAGCGGAAGATCTTCGACTTCGAAATAGTGGTATCGATTGACACAACACAAGGCACATGATCGGAGGAGGTTTTAGCCAAAGGAAATACTACTGTATTCGAATAAGCAGATATTCAGTCAGCAGTAGTAAAAAACCAATCCAGCTGCTCCAAAAGAGGCTGTTCCTGCATATTAGACTAGGTGTAGGCTCCGCCTTTCAGTGGTAACTCAAGCAAACCTAGATGGCCGATGATCTCATTGAACAAAAAAATATCATTAACATCTCCCCCAGGCCTATTCCTATTATCCAATGAACGGATAAAATTGAAATCTCCAAGTAAGAGCCAGTTTTGATCCAGAGGTATTGGAAGGTTATACAACCATTGAACAAAATCATCCCATTGTGGCCCATGGCATGGGCCATAGACAGACACCAAAGTCCAAGTTTCAGAATTATGCACAAACTTGAAAGATATAACTAGGCCAAAGCGTTGTACCTCAACCAGAGTGCCACTAAAAATTGCTGAATTCCAAATAACCAGTATACCACCCGAGGCTCCCACAGGAGGGGAAAACGCAAAGCGATCGAACCTACGCGGACAAAAAGCACGTATCGATCTCAGATCAAAATGCTCGACCTTAGTTTCTTGCAGACATATGATAGAACATTTGCTCTCTTCAATTTTAGCCCTGACATCCCGTTGCCTGTCCTCAGAGTTCAGGCCACGCACATTCTAGCACAACACTCGCCAATTATGATAAGATGTATGATCCATAAATGCAGTAATAAAAGCATAGTAAACTCATAACTGCATAACAGAATGAGTAGCAGAGCATAACAAAGTTCACCCAAACGACAGATAGACCCAACACACATAATCCAGAATAATAACGACCCAAAAGAAACAAGGTCTCTAAACCCATCCCCATCCGAAATAAACAAGATCAATCATCATTGGGAGGCTTGGTCGATTCATCAAACTCCGGGCCCGCCATAAGCTTGGCCACCGTAAGATCTTCAGGAGGGATTTGCAGCGCCTCACCCAGCAACTGCAGAGTAGGGATAGGCGTCGGAGGTGGAAGCGCAACTCCATCTTTGTTCGGCTCCGGCACAGGGAGGCGTGGCTTCTTGGCCCGCGATCGACGTAGGCTTGAAGTCCTCATCGGGATGGCAGAGATGGGCTTGAAACCTGTATATTGGTGTTAAACTTACTGTATTCCAACTTCTCTAAGGTTTATAAACTCTTTTACTAGCCATAGATTCATCAAAATAAGCAAACAACACACGAAAAACCGAATCTGTCAAAAACAGAATAGTATGTAGTAATCTGTAGCTAACACAAACTTCTGGAACCCCAAAAATTCTAAAATAAATTGTTGGACGTTAGGAATTTATATATTAATCATCTGCATATATGATTAACTAAATATAACTTTCCAAATAAAAATGGCAGCAATTCTCACGAGCGCTAAAGTTTCTGTTTTTTACAACAAAATCAAAAAGACTTCCCCAAGTCTTCCCAACGGTTCTACTTGGCACAAACACTAATTAAACACAAAAAACACAACCAAAACAGAGGCTAGATAAATTATTTATTACTAAATAGGATAAAAAAGCAAGGAATAAAAATAAAATTGGGTTTCCTCCCAACAAGCGCTATCGTTTAACGCCCCTAGCTAGGCATAAAAGCAAGGATAGATCTTGGTATTGCCATCTTTGGTAGGCAATCCATAAGTGGCTCTCATAATAGATTCATATGGTAATTTAATTTTCCTTTTAGGGAAGTGTTCCATGCCTTTACTTAATGGAAATTGGAATCTAATATTCCCTTCCTTCATATCAATAATTGCACCAATCGTTCTAAGGAAAGGTCTACCAAGAATAATAGGACATGAAAGATTGCAATCTATGTCAAGAACGATGAAATCTATGGGCACATAGTTCCTATTTGCAACAATAAGAACATCATTAATTCTTCCCATAGGTTTCTGAATAGTGGAATCCGCAAGGTGCAAGTTTAAAGAACAATTATCAAAATCATGGAAAACTATCAAATCACACAAAGTTTTTGGAATCGTGGAAACACTAGCACCCAAATCACACAAAGCATATCACTCATGATCTTTAATTTTAATTTTTATTGTAGGTTCCCACTCATCATAAATTTTTCTAGAGATAGAAACTTCCAACTCATGTTTTTCTTCATAAGATTGCATCAAAGCATCAACGATATGTTTAGTAAAAGCTTTATTTTGACTATAAGCATGAGGAGAATGTAGCACGGATTGCAACAAGGAAATACAATCTATCAAAGAGCAATTATCATAATTAAATTCCTTGAAATCAAAGATAGTGGGTTCATTGATATCTAAATTTTTGACCTCTTCAATCCCACTTTTACCAATTTTTGCATCAAGATCTAAAAACTCCGAATTTTTGGAACGCCTTCTAGGTAAAGGTGGCTCATCTTCAGTCCCATCATTATCAAGATTCATATTGCAAAACAAAGACTTAATAGGAGACTCATCAATAACTTTTAGATCTTCATCTTTATTTTCATAAAAAAATTCTGGCTTAGCGGCCATCTTATTAACTAAGGTGGCCTGCTTATCCTAAACTTCAGCAATTAATTTGTCGAGATGAGCAATCTGAGATTTCAAACCATAAAATTCTTTAGACATATCATCAAGATCTTTATTCATATAACCCATAAAGCCTTTTTGTTCCTTAATCTCATTCCTAAAGAAATTATTATGCTCAAATTGTAAAGTCATAAAACTCCTGACGTTGCTTTTGATCTCTTCTAACCTTTTAAGGTGAAGATCACCAAATCTAGGTAGAGCCATCGTGACAAGACAGCAATCCAACACATGAGCAAACAAGAAGCAAGAGAAAAAGAGGCGAACGGAAAAAAAAGAGGGTGAATAAAACAGCAAGGGTGAAGTGGGGGAGAGGAAAACGAGAGGCAAATGTCAAATAATGTAATGCGAGGGATAAGAGTTTGTGATGGGTACTTGGTATGTCTTGACTTGTGCGTAGACTTCGTCAAAACGGCGCCAGAAATGGCTTGTTGTCGGGAGTCAAATCTTGACTTGACTTGGCGCGAATCCCCCCGGCAACGGCGCCAGAAATCCTTCTTGCTACCTCTTGAGCACTGCATTGGTTTTCCCTTGAAGAGGAAAGGGTGATGCAGCAAAGTAGCGTAAGTATTTACCTTGGTTTTTGAGAACCAAGGTATCAATCCAGTAGGAGATCACGCTCGAGTCCCACGCACCTACACAAACAAATAAGAACCTCACAACCAACGCGATAAAGGGGTTGTCAATCCCTTCACGGTCACTTACGAGAGTGAGATCCGATAGATATGATAAGATAATATTTTTGGTATTTTTATGATAAAGAGAAATAAAGATGCAAAGTAAAATAAACGGTAATAGAAATAACTAAGTGTTGGAAGATTAATATGATGGAAGATAGACCCGGGGGCCATAGGTTTCACTAGTGGCTTCTCTCAAGAGCATAAGTATTACGGTGGGTAAACAAATTACTGTCGAGCAATTGATAGAATTGAGCATAGTTATGAGAATATCTAGGTATGATCATGTATATAGGCATCACATCCGTGACAAGTAGACTGAAACGATTCTGCATCTACTACTATTACTCCACACATCAACCGCTATCTAGCATGCATCTAGAGTATTAAGTTCATAAGAACAGAGTAATGCCTTAAGCAAGATGACATGATGTAGAGGGATAAATTCATGCAATATGATATAAACCCCATCTTTTTATCCTTGATGGCAACAATACAATACGTGCCTTGCTGCCCCTGCTGTCACTCGCAAAGGACACCGCAAGATTGAACCCAAAGCTAAGCACTTCTCCCATTTCAAGAAAGATCAATCTAGTAGGCCAAACCAAACTGATAATTCGAAGAGACTTGCAAAGATAAACCAATCATACATAAAAGAATTCAGAGGAGATTCAAATATTTTTCATAGATAAACTTGATCATAAACCCACAATTCATCGGATCTCGACAAACACACCGCAAAAGAAGATTACATCGAATAGATCTCCAATAAGATCGAGGAGAACTTTGTATTGAGATCCAAAGAGAGAGAAGAAGCCATTTTGCTAATAACTATGGACCCTGTAGGTCTGAAGTAAACTACTCAAACATCACCAGAGAGGCCATGGAGTTGATGTAGAGGCCCTCCGTGATTGATGCCCCCTCCGACGGAGCTCCGGAAAAGGCCCCAAGATGGGATCTCTCGGGTACAGAAGGTTGCGGCGGTGGAGTTAGGTTTTCGTGGTGCTCCTGGATGTTTGGGGGTACGTGGACTTATATAGGAGGAAGAAGTAGGTCGGTGGAGCAACGAGGGGCCCACGAGGGTGGAGGGCGCGCCCCCTGCCTCCTGCCCTCCTCGATCGTTTCTTGACGCCCACTCCAAGTCTCCTGGATCACGTTTGTTGAGAAAGATCTTCGTAGAATATGTAGGAACCAATATGAGCATCCAGGTTCCGCTATTGGTTATTGACCAGAGATGAGTCTCGGTCATGTCTACATAGTTCTCGAACCCATTGGGTCCGCACGCTTAACGTTAGGTGACGATCGGTATTATGAGTTTATGTGTTTTGATGTACCAAAGGTAGTTCGGAGTCCCGGATGTGATCACGGACATGACGAGGAATCTCGAAAGGGACAAGACATAAAGATTGATATATTGGAGGCTATATTCGGACACCGGAAGGGTTTCGGATGATCTCGAAGAAAACTGGAGTGCTAGAGGGGTTACCGGAACCCCCCGGGGACTAATGGGCCTTAATGGGCCCTAGTGGAGAGAGAGAGGGGCTGGCCAGGGTAGGCCGCGCGCCCCCTCCCCTTGAGTCCGAATAGGACAAGGAAAGGGGGGCGGGCCCCCCCTTGCCTTTCCCCTCTCCCACTCCTTCCTTCCCCCTCCTAGTCGGACTAGGAAAGGGGAGTCCTACTCCCACTAGGAGGAGGACTCCTCCTCTTGGCGCGCCCTCCCCCATTTCTCCTTTATATACGGGGGCAGGGGGCACCCCATGGACACACAAGTTGATCATTGACCCCTTAGCCATGTGCGGTGCCCCCCTCCACCATAATCCACCTCGGTCATATCATTGTAGTGCTTAGGCGAAGCCCTGCACTGGTAGCTTCATCATCACCGTCATCACGACATCGTGCTGACGAAGCTCTCCCTCGACACTCTGCTAGACCGTGAGTTCGTGGGATGTCACCGAGCCGAACGTGTGTAGATCGTGGAGGTGCCATACTTTCGGTACTAGGATCGGTCGGATCGTGAAGACGTACGACTACATCAACCGCATTGTCATAACGCTTCCGCTTACAGTCTATGAGGGTACATGGACAACACTCTTCCCCTCTCATTGCTATGGATCACCATGATCTTGCGTGTGCGTAGGATTTTTTTTTGAAATTACTGTGTTCCCCAACAGTGGTATCAAAGCCAGGTTTATGCGTAGATGTTATATGCACGAGTAGAACACAAAGGAGTTATGGGCATGGGTATATACATATTGCTTGCCGTCACTAGTTGATTCTTGATTCAGCGGTATTGTTGGATAAAGCAGCTCAGACCGACATTACGCGTACGCTTACGCGAGACTGGTTCTACCGACGTGCTTCGCACACAGGTGGCTAGTGGGTGTCTGTTTCTCCAACTTTAGTTGAATCGGATTCAATGAGCAGGGTTCTTTCTGAAGATCAAAAAGCAATCACTATACCGCATTGTGGTTTTTGATCCGTAGGTAAGAACGGTTCTTGCTCAGCCCATAGCAGCCACGTAAAACTTGCAACAACAAAGTAGAGGACGTCTAACTTGTTTTTGCAGGGCTTGTTGTGATGTGATATGGTCAAGACGTGATGAGATATAAGTTGTTGTATGAGATGATCATGTTTTGTTAAAGTTATTGGCAACTGGCAGAAGCCTTATGGTTGTCTCTTTATTGCATAAGATGCAAGTGCCAAATAATTGCTTTAATTTATCGCTATGCGATAGCAATAGTTGCAAGAGCAATAGTTGGCGAGACGACCATGTGATGACACGTTGATAGAGATCAAGATGATGGAGATCATGGTGTCATGCCGGTGACAATAGAGATCATGACGGTACTTTGGAGATGGAGATCAAAGACGCAAGATGATCATGGCCATATCATGTCACATATTTTGATTGCATGTGATGTTTATCCTTTATGCATCTTATTTTGCTTTAGTTCGGCGGTAGCATTATAAGATGATCTCTCACTAAATTTCAAGGTATAAGTGTTCTCCCTGAGTATGCACCGTTGCGACAGTTCGTCGTGCCAAGACACCACGTGATGATCGGGTGTGATAAGCTCTACGCTCACATACAACGGGTGCAAGCCAGTTTTGCACACGCGGGATACTCGGGTTAAACTTGACGAGCCTAGCATATGCAGATATGGCCTTGGAACACTGGAGACCGAAAGGTCGAGCGTGAATCATATAGTAGATATGATCAACATAATGATGTTCACCATTGAAAACTACTCCATCTCACGTGATGATCAGACATGGTTTAGTTGATTTGGATCACGTGATCATTTAGATGACTAGAGGGATGTCTATCTAAGTGGGAGTTCTTAAGTAATATGATTAATTGAACTTTAATTTATCATGAACTTACTCCTGATAGTATTTGCATAACTGTGTTGTAGATCAATATCTCGCAATGTAGCTCCCCGTTTTTTATATGTTCCTAGAGGAAAACTATGTTGAAAGATGATAGTAGCAATGATGCGGACTAGGTCTGTGTGAGGGAGTCCTCGGACAACCGGACTATATACTTTGGCTGGACTGTTGGACTATAAAGATACAAGATTGAAGACTTCGTCCCGTGTCCGGGTAGGACTCTCCTTTGCGTGGAAGGCAAGCTTGGTCATTCGGATATGTAGATCTCCTCCCTTGTAACCGACTCTGTGTAATCCTAGCCCCCTCCGGTGTCTATAGAAACCGGAGGGTTTAGTCCGTAGAACGACAATCATAATCATAGGCCAGCTTATAGGTTTTAGCCTCTACGATCTCGTGGTAGATCAACTCTTTTAATACTCATATCATCAAGATCAATCAAGCAGGAAGTAGGGTATTACCTCCATCGAGAGGGCCCGAACCTGGGTAAACATTGTGTCCCCTGCCTCCTGTTACCATCTGCCTTAGACGCACAGTTCGGGACCCCCTACCCGAGATCCGCTAGTTTTGACACCGACATTGGTGCTTTCATTGAGAGTTCCACCGTGTCGTCACCATAAGGCTTGATGGCTCCTTCGATCATCAGTAACGATGCGATCCGGGGTGAGGCTTTTCCCCCGGACAGATCTTCGTATTCGGCGGCTTCGTACTGCGGGCCAACTCACTTGGCCATCTCGAGTAGATCGAGAGCTACGCCCCTGGCCATCAGGTCAGGTTTGGAAGCTTAAACTATACTGCCGACATCCGCAGAGACTTGATCTTCGATGGATTCAATCCCATGCCAGGTGCACCGCACAGTCGCGATGAGCATGACTTAGCTCTGCAGCTGGACGGTGTCCGGGAGATCACACATGTGGCTACTCCGGCCTTCAATCCGGAGCAGATCATGTCATCCGAGGACGGGTGGATGGACCCCGCCACGGAGGCCGCACACTCAGTGGCGATAGAGCCGAATACTGACTTCACCTCCTATGAGACCTGTGTTGCCGGATCCTTGGATTCGTCCCCGGCCACAGGCTCCGAACCGCCCGTGTCCGTGCCTATCAAATCTGATTGGGAACCGATCATGGAGT